CATCAGCAGTCAGGCTCTGCGTGAGGCAGTACTGGTAAACTGCAAGATGTCCATGTGCAAGGTCTGGTTTCGACATTCATTGCCTCATCAGCAGTCAGGCTCTGCGTGAGACAGTGCTGGTGAACTGCAAGATGTCCATGTGCAAGGTCTGGTTTCGACATTCACTGCATCATCAGCAGTCAGGCTGTGCGTGAGACAGTGCTGGTAAACTGCAAGATGTCCATGTGCAAGGTCTGGTTTCGACATTCACTGCATCATCAGCAGTCAGGTTGTGCGTGAGACAGTGCTGGTAAACTGCAAGATGTCCATGTGCAAGGTCTGAGATATAAGCCGGCAAGTGCATCGCATCAAGACATTTCACCCGTGATGTCTCGAGACCAGAGGTCGCAAACGGGTTTTGATTCCTTACCCGTACCCGTACCTGGCCGCACCAGGGTCGCAAACAGGTACCCGTACCCGGCCGTACCCGGGTATCGGGTACCCGATTGCGACCTCTGGGATGAAGCCATGTTGCAGGCGCGGGTGGGTTGATTCTAGGAACTTGAATTGTGAGAAGAGACAAGACGTTGGGAAATGAGTGACAAACGGTGACTCACCAGTGATTCACGGCCTACCCGTACCCGTACCTGGCCGCACCAGAGTCGCAAACGGGTACCCGTACCCGGCCGGGTACGGGTAGCCGGGTATCGGGTAGGGTACGGGTATCGGGTACCCGGTTGAGACCTCTGCTCAAGACGTCCGATGCGAATCGACGAAAGAGCGATGACTCGGGCGGCCGTCGCGTACGAACGGATATCTGAACGGGTCCTGGGCCTCCCCCTAGGTCTACTCAGCCTCAAATGAGTGTGTGACTATCGCCGCTCGGGGAGACGAAATGCCTCGTGTGCCACAGTGCCGGCCTTCATAGGTGCTACTCGCTAACAGCACTTGCCCCAAAAGTCTGTTGAGCCTATACGGGGAATATTTGTCTTTATATGTCTGAATGTGGGGAGCGGTGGCGCAGCGGTTAGCGCTGCATTGCACAACGAACACGACTACCCGAGATCGATTCCCGCTCACGACCAACATCGGTGACGATTATCTGAACCGGTCTTGGGCTTCCCGTAAGGTTAACTCAGCCTCAAATGAGTACCTGGCGCGGTGTGTAAACATCGCCACATGGGGAGACAAAGGCGGCCGGGCGTGGCGCTGGCAAACCACCCCCTCGTGCGCCGTTCCGGCCTTCATAGTTGGTGCGACTTCGCCAACGGCGCTTGCCCCAGAAAGTCCGTAGAGGCTATACCGGGGAATCTTTGCCTTTTGTGTTTAAGAGGCGGACCAAGACTGCGACATGCGAACAGTGGAGCATGGGCGGACGCGAAGTGGCCTCGTCAAAAGCCATGCAAATAAGCTCGTGTTGAAATAATGAAGTCTGTTGATGAACACGAGTGAAGATGACGACGACGATCATCACTATGATGATGTCTCGTTAATTATCTCCCGGCTGAAGATCCATTCCAACTCGCTCGCTCGCGGTCCAGTGGATTTTCGCGAGCCGGTGGTGGTGGGGGGGGAGACACAATATTACAAAAATACATTCTTTTTTTTACTTGCATAGTAAAGTAATTGTCACGAACACGACGACCCCGTATGGGCTCAACATTCCGTCGGAAGCTTGTGTTGCCTCCGAAACGTCGTGATTAAATTTAGTTGTTTTCATTTTAATGTATTTTTTACCTACGTGACTTTACCGAAAAAACCAAAGAGTATGAATCCTTGCAGTCACGAAAACTTCAAATCTAGAATTTAAGTAATTGCGTTTTTTTCATTTGCTATACAGACAGATAATACGACACATCGCTCACCTTAAACACCCAGTCGTTCATAAAAGTTGAAGGCCGTATAGTACTATAGTAATAGAGCAAGTGCAGAATCACTGAACCGGAATTGATAGCTTGAAGCATTCAGCGAGGGGCCCTTGAAAGTGCGGGACCCGTAGCTACTACACGTGTGGTAGCTACTACACGTGTAGCTACTACACGTGTTGTAGCTACTACACGTGTTGTAGCTACTACACGTGTTGTAGCTACTACACGTGTAGCTACTACACGTGTTGTAGCTACTACACGTGTAGCTACTACACGTGTTATAGCTACTACACGTGTGGTAGCTACTACACGTGTAGCTACTGCACGTGTTGTAGCTACTACACGTGTAGTAGCTACTACACGTGTTGTAGCTACTACACGTGTAGCTACTACACGTGTTGTAGCTACTACACGTGTAGCTACTACACGTGTTGTAGCTACTACACGTGTTGTAGCTACTACACGTGTTGTAGCTACTACACGTGTAGCTACTACACGTGTAGCTACTACACGTGTAGCTACTACACGTGGTGCTACTACACGTGGTGCTACTACACGTGTAGCTACTACACGTGCAGCTACTACACGTGTAGCTACTACACGTGCAGCTACTACACGTGTAGCTACTACACGTGCAGCTACTACACGTGTTGTAGCTACTACACGTGTTGCAGCTACTACACGTGTTGTAGCTACTGCACGTGTTGTAGCTACTACACGTGTTGTAGCTACTGCACGTGCAGCTACTACACGTGTAGCTACTACATGTATAACTACTTTTGCTACTAGGATAATTCGGCACTGGTAACAGCACATATGAAGGGCGGCACAACAACAACAACAACAAACGCAGATGTCTTTATTTTGTTTTTGAGAAACGATTTGGTGATGATGCTGCTGCTGCTGCTCCTGGGTTGACAGTGATGTCCTTGCCCCCGCACCTCCGATTAGCGCGCTCGTTCTACGTACGGTGCGAAAGAAGTTCAACATAGACACCAACACCAACACAGCCATCATCCGACACTAAGTGATGAATGGTGACCACGCAAAGTGTACAAGTGCTCGCTGACAGGAGGCCACGGGAAAGACCCAGCAGGTGCCATGAGTTGGCTGACTGAGATGACTAGCAGATGCAACACCTGTGCCCCCCTAATGTGCTGCATTTTATCCGCCCGGCGCTCCGCTCGTTGTTGTGAGCGTCGCTCCTCTGCCCTCCGTTGTTGCTGGAGAGCGACTGCCTCCAACTGCCCAGTAGCAGCGTCCTTCACGAGCCTCCTCCACAGAGGCCGATCTTGACACCGCTGGTACCGGTCATCGGCAAGTCCACTCAGCTCCACGTATCCCCATGTACTGCAACAGTCCATCTCTTCTCCAGCCCGTGTCGTGCCGTACATACACACACACACGTACGTACGTCTGCGTTCTTACACTGTGTTGACCAGAGGTTATGACGTTCCCTTTCCTTCCTCCCGGGCCCGGCTGAGATTCTAGGATGGTGACAGCAGCAGGAGGAGCAGCAGCTGCAGCGCGATATCAGAAGGGATGGGTGGGTGGGTATTGGGATTTGAGTGGCCATCGGGGCGACATTGGTGGTAGTGGTGGTGGTTGTAGTTGGTAAGAGAAAAGTGTCAACTCCCTTGCAGGAGCAGTTTGTACGCCCAGGTCTCTGCGGATATTTTGGTTGACGGAATGTTCGAGAGAACAGGAGAGCCTGGAGGATTGGCGTCGTGTTGTTGAGAATCATGGCCTTACCATTCCGGTCTTGCCATCACCTTCATGGTCATCACCATCACGATCATCATAATGATGAACCATCATGAGTATCACCATTAACCACCTCGCCTGGTGTACAGGAAGTCGTGGGTTCGATCCCGACCCTGACGCCCGTTGCATATTTGACGTGTCTCTCTCTCATCATCATCATTATCACGGTGGTGAGATGTTAACTACCTCGCCTGGTATACAGGAGGTCGTGGGTTAGTTCCCAATTCTGACATCTCTATACTTTGAGTTTGCGTGTCTTTCTCTCTCTCTCATCATCATCATCACGGTGGCGAGATGTTAACTACCTCGCCTGGTATACAGGAGTTCGTGGGTTCAATCCCGAGTTTGCGTGTCTCTCTCTCTCATCATCATCACGTTGGCGAGATGTTAACTACCTCGCCTGGTATACAGGAGGTCGTGGGTTAGTTCCCAATTCTGACATCTCTATACTTTGAGTTTGCGTGTCTTTCTCTCTCTCTCATCATCATCATCACGGTGGCGAGATGTTAACTACCTCGCCTGGTATACAGGAGTTCGTGGGTTCGATCCCGAGTTTGCGTGTATCTCTCTCTCTCTCTCTAGCCCCGTGGTCGCGTGGATTTTTGTTTGTTCTCCAGTTCTCCGCTTTTTCCAATCTACATTTAAAATGAACATCACGGATTTAGAGTGTTTGGCCAACGCTTTACATGTCCACACGATGATCCCTCGATGACGCCACTTTGTGGAGATGTCATTCGACGCCGGGTCGCTGCTGACAGCAGGGACATGTAGAGCTCAATGAGCCCTTACCTGGTCAAATATAAGAAGACGTAATCGACTCAAAACTTTCGTGACTGCAGGAATTCATATGCTTGGTGCTTTCGGTAAAGTCACGGAGATAGAAAAAAAACCAAAATTAAAATAAAAATAAATAAATATGCAAAAAACCCACGACGTTTCGATCGCAACGCAAGCGGTCTTCTCTTTGGTTCTTTCTGTAAAGTCACATAGTTAGAAATAAAATTAAACAAATCACGACGTTTCGATCGCAAAAAATATCAATTTATTTTAATTTTAATTTTATTTTAATTTTCTTTCTACGTGACTTCACCGAAAGAAGCAAGAATATAAAAAAACATAATCGGTTAGTTGAAGATCTCCAGACCGAGGGGGTGTTAGTGTTAATGTGTCACGTTTCATCCCGAGAGGGTGCGCACAACAACCTCGATCAATGATTGTCGAGGGTTCAACTCCACCAGCGTGTTTCCCCAAAGCCCCCCCCTCCACCACAGCCCCCCACTACCCCCCACTACCCCCTCACCCGTGATCGTGATGATGGCTCATGTGACACTCGGCCCGAGACCGTCGCCCGCGTATAAAGGCCAGGAGTGCACAGACCCGCAGCCAGATCAGAAACCACCCATTAGCGCCTAAAGATTTCTCAACAGTTCAAACTCTTTCTTGGATATACATTTTTATTTATTTTTAAAGTTACATTTTTTTTTCGCGTGTGTGCGTACGTTTGTCGCTTTTTCTCTCTCTCTGTGTTTTTTTTTATTTCATCGGTGCTCGCTAACAGCACTTGCCCCAACAGTCTGTTCAGGCTATACACGCAGGATCTTTGTCTTTGTGTTTTCTTCTACGCGCCGCGTTGACCTTCCTTGAAGTCGCACTTGACCCAACAGTCTTCTGAAGGCTACGCGGTGGAGTGTAGGAGGATCTTTGTCTTCATCTGTGCACTACGTCGGCTCTGCTACGTGCGCTCGTTGAGAAATCGTTTGTGGCCAGGTCGCTTCTAAAAAAATAAGAAAAAATAGCGATACAAAGACAGCGCAGTGCGCCTTCACCTGGTGAAGTAAACACATTTTAGTTTAGTAAGCGAGCGGCTCTTCCACGCGAACAAGTTTGGGATAAACCGCCAGCCTTTTCCTTTGCTGGTTGGACCCCAGCCAATAGGCACCCTCCGACTAGCACGGTTTGGCTACGTACGGTGCGAAAGAAGTTCAACGCACAGACAGACACACACACGTCGCAACAATGTGCACGGGCAAATGCACCATGTGCGTGGGCATCTCTCTCATCCCACTCGCCGTCCTTGCCATCCTGGGCAACGCGCTAATGTTTTTCCCCAACGGAGCAGTCGACCACATTTTCATGGAGGAACCCACCGCTCGCATCACCGTCTACGCACTGTTCCTGGGAGGCATTGGAGGCGGTGGAATTCTGGTGAGAATGTCTGTCTCTCTGTTTTCTTTTACGATCAGTGGAAACAAGAAGATGCTCGGTGCATTCGGCACTTTGCTTCGTTCATCATTTCGTAATTTTTTTTTCGCTCACTCTCGCTCGCTCACTCTCTCGCTCACTCTCTCTCTCTCACTCTATTTCTCTCTCTCTCACGCTATATTTATTTCTCTCACTCTATCTCACTATATTGTTCACCTTCTGAAGCGCTCGCTCGCTCGTCACCGCGGCGTTCGCGATGACCATCACCGCCACCGCGTGACTTTTCTGTCGTGTTGTGCGCGGTGCATTTAGCACCACAGCGCGTGGATTTGTAGCGTCATTTTTCATTTGTGTTGCTGGTGACTTTGTGTATTTCATATCGAAATTGCCTCCAGTGCTGTTGCTGCTGGCGGCAATAAAAGTTGTTAAAAGTCAAAAGTCTCTATCTCTCTCTCACTCTCTCTCTCAATCTATTTCTCTGTCTCTCACTTTTTTTTACGATCAGTGGAAACAAGAAGATGCTCGGTGTAGTCGGCACTTTGCTTCGTTCATCATTTCGTTTTTTTTTCAATCCTTTGCTTTATGTGCCCCCCCCCCCCCACCCCTTTTAAATGAAATATTTCACGAAAGATTTCACGCTATGCTCTCCTCCTTCTTACCCCTTCCCTCTCTCTCTTCCCCTCTCTCTCTCTACCCCTCTCTCCCTTCTCCATGTCTATGTTCCCCCTGTTTTCTATGTAATATTTGTAAAAAAATATATATAAATAACATTTTTTTACGACAAGTGCTGCATCTTCACGCAGCCCTTCTCGCAGTCCTACGGCCTCCGACGGGTGGTTCATATCTGCATGCAGAGCTCTCCACTCTCTCACTCTATTCTAGATTTGAAGCTTTCGTGACTGCAAGGATTCATATTCTTATGTTTTTTCGGTAAAGTCGCGTAGGTAAAAAATTAAAATTAATAAAAGTAAAATGAAAATAAAATAAAAATCACGACGTTTCGGAGGCTTCCGTCTTCAGGTGGAACCGTCACAGCACGATAGATGTATCAAGTAAGATAAATTCCAAGAAAACACTCCTTGTATATATATACTGGTTGAGGGTGGGAAGAGCCAAGGTAGGCCCCTGGATATTATTTTTGTGAGGTTCGGTGCGGCTGAAGCACGCTGCTAGGAATGAGCTTTTGTTGTGTAGACTGGTTGAACTCGGAGGTTCCAAGAGTTGTTAAGGTGCGGATTTTATTGATTTTAATTTTATTTTTTTACCTACGTGACTCTCACTCTCTGCGTAACGAGCTGCTTTGTGGAGCGAGTCGTGCGAAACGACGTCACGTTGCTGCGATGCGCGTGGCGCGCGCCACGTGACACGCGCCACGTGACACGCGTGTTTGTGACGCGCGCACGTGACGCTGGACTCGATTGTGGTTCATGTTCTTGGTTCTTTCGGTAAAGTCACGTGGAAGGGAAATAATAAAATAATAAAAATAAAACATAATAAAATAATTCTCACGACGTTTCGGCCACAACGCAAGCAGCCGTCCTCAGGTGGAGAGCATTCATTCAGACTCTGTCTCCTCGACAGACCTGCTCTCCACCTGAGGATGGCTGCTTGCGTTGTGGCCGAAACGTCGTGAGAATTATTTTATTATGTTTTATTTTTATTATTTTATTATTTCTCTTCTACGTGACTTTACCGAAAGAACCAAGAAGATCAATCCCTGCAGTCACGAAAGCTTTAAATCGAAAAATAAATCGATTGTGGTCCTTGCATCAAAATTGGCACCAGTGCGTTTGCCGCTGGCAGCAATAAAATTGGTATAAACCCTCTCTCTATTCTCTTTCTCTCTCTCATTCTCTCTCTTTTATTTCCTCTCTCTCTCTCTCATTCTCTCTTTTTTAACGATCAGAGGAAACAAGAAGATGCTCGGTGTATTCGGCACTTTGCTTCGTTCATCATTTCGTTTGTTTATGCTTTGCTTCACTTTTTTTAATGAATGATTTAACAGAAGATTTTTCGCTCTGCTCTTCTTACCCCTTTCTACTCTCTCTACCCCCCTCTCTGCCCCCCCCCCCCCTCTCTCTGTACCCCCTCTCTATCTATTTTTCCCTCTCTCTCTCTGTGGTGCTTTTAGCGCCACAGCGCGTCGATTTGTAACGTTTATTATCAGTTTCTTGGTTATTTCGGTAAAGTCACGTAGAAGGGAAATAATGAAATAAAAAAATTACAACATAATAAAATTATTATTTTTATTTTATTATTTCCCTTCTACGTGACTTTACCGAAAGAACCAAGAAGATTAATCCCTGCAGTCACGAATGCTTTAAATCGAAATTTATTTTCATTTGTTTGCCGGTGACTTTGTGTATTTCATATTGAAATCGCCTCCAGTGCTGTTGCTGCTGGCGGCAATACAAGTTGTTTAAAAGTCAATTCTCTCTGCAACCCCTCCCCCCATACGGGGTGTATCTTTATCTATTGTTAGCGATGTTATTGTTTACACCATTGGAACCTCATTTGCCAGTAAAAAACATAATAATTGTTTTTTTACCCTTTTATCTGACAACAAAACTGACACCTTTTTTTACAAGGAGTCATGTTTGCATAGACCACAATACCTGCAGTCATAATGCAAACAAAAAACATAACTCTAACAATGGTGTAAATACTTTCCCCGAGCTCTCATACTCTGATGGTGCATTGTCTTTGAGTTGTGCACCTTTTGGCGTCATCTGGTCCAACACCATGTGAGACTAGGCTCTAAGGAAAGCTGTCTCGGGTGTGGACCAATCAACTTCAAGGACAGTGCATACATTATCAGAGTTATGTTTTTTGTTTGCATTATGACTGCAGGTATTGTGGTCTATACAAACATGACTCCTTGTAAAAAAGGTGTCAGTTTTGTTGCCAGATAGAAGGGTAAAAAAACAATTATCGATGTTATTGTTGCTGAAGGTGATGATGTTGTTGCACAGGTCCTGCTATCAGCGATGCAGATGATATGTGCGGGACTCAAGCGGGGCTGCTGCGCGAACAGATGTGGGGTGAGAGCCGGCACCTCACGAGAAAACCCTGAGCACACAAAGACAAAGATGCCCCGTATAGCCTTCAACGGACTGTCGGGGCAAGTGCTGTTAGCGAGCAGCACCTATGGAGGCCGGCACGGTACACGAGGGGGTGGGTGGCCAGCACCACGCCCGGCCGCCTTTGTCTCCCCGGTGGTGATGTTGACACACCGCACCAGGTACTCATTGGAGGCTGAGTCGACCTAGGGGAGGCCCAGGACCGGTTCAGACAATCGTCACCGGTGTTGGCCGTGAGGGGGAATGGAACTCGCGACTCCAGTTTTGTAGCAAAGCCGCTAATCGCTACAAAACCGCCATCATCACTATCAACATTCTCAGGATCATCATCATTATTATTGCCCATAGACTAACATTGCCAATATACTAACATTACCCATAGACTAACATTGCCCTTAGACTAACATTGCCCATAGACTAACATTGCCCACAGACTAACATTGCCCATAGACTAACATTGCCATGGACTAACACTGCCCATAGTCTTGACGTGCATGCTGATGAATCCTTGACACTTGACTTGTACAATTACGAAGTTGATGACAATAACGACGACGACGATGTTGCTGTTGTTGTTGTTTGTTTGTCTGTTCTCCAAACAGATGTTGATGTCAGTCCTTTTCTCCGTCGTGGGCCTGGCTGGTTCTGGCTATTGCCTTGCTGTAAGCACAGTGGGGCTCATTCAAGGACCCAAATGCAACGTGAATTCCACGTCGGAGGAGTGGATTTATCCATTCGAGCAGCACTTCCCCAACATTAACCAGGACAACGTGCAGTAAGTGCCACGAGTCGCATGTACGTCCGTGCATTGAACCTCTTTCGCTTGCACCGGACGAAGCCCACCGCGGCTAATCGTAGGTGCGACGTCAAGCAGAACACGCTGGACACAAACAGCGCTAGTTGAAGGGACGGGTCTGTCAATGGATATGATTTTGAAGGTATTCATTTTAGGCTGAGTCGACCTAGGGGAGGCCCATGACCAGTTCACATGATCGTCACCGGTGTTTGCTGTTGAACGGGAATCGAACCCGGGTCGCTAACCGCTACACCACCGATAAACCACACAAAGATAAAGATCCCCCGTATAGCCTTAACAGACTGTAGGGGCAAGTGCTTTTAGCGAGCACCTATGAAGGCTGCAACGGTACACGAGGGGGTGGGTGGCCAGCACCACACCCGACCGCCTTTGTCTCCCTAGTGGTGATGTTTACACACCGCACCAGGTACTCATTTGAGGCTGAGTCGACCTAGGGCAGGCCCAGCACCGGTTCAGATAATCGTCACTGGTGTTGGCCGTGAGCGGGAATCGAACTCGGGTCGCTGGGTTCGTAGTGCAGCGCGCATACCGCTACACTACCGCTCCCCCCACAAAGATAAAGATCCCCCGTATAGCCTTAACAGACTGTAGGGGCAAGTGCTGTTAGCGAGCACCTCCCCGCACACACAGACACACACACACACAGACACACACACACACACAGACACACACAGACACACACACAGACACACACAGACACAGCACCAATTCGACCCTACACGAGTAGCTACCCCCCCGCCACCCCCTCTCTCTCTCTCTGCGCCCCCGCCCCCCTCAACCTTCGAACAGAAGCAGCTACCTCTTCAACAGCACCTTGTGGGACGTCTGCTTGAAGCCCCCGAACGCCGTGAAGTGGCACGTGGCCCTCTTCACGATCGTCGCGGTCACGGGCGCTGTCCAGGTGCTGCTGTGCGCTGTTCAGTTCGTCAACGGGTTCCTCGGCGTGCTGTGCGGGACGTGTCGCAAGGAGAAAGCGGCTAAGAATCAGCTACCGCTCACGCGAATGTAAAGCACGTGGTGGTGGGGGGGGGGGGGGTGGCAGAACCGGCCCTAGACCTTTGGGGGCCCTAAGCAAAATTTGGTTGGAGGCCCCTTTGATGTATGATTTTTTTCACCCACTAGCTAGCAGTGACTCTAGGGGGCCCTCTGCTGGCCACGGGGCCCTTTGCAATTGCAAGGGTCGCTTAGTGGCTGGGCCGGCTCTGGGGGGTGGTCTGGGGAGTGATGGTGGTGGGGGTAAGTGGGGTACTGGGGAGGGATGGAAGGGGGGGGGGGAGGAACTCAAGGAGGGGACTGGGGGAGGGGGGGAGCGTACGGATTGGATTCCTTACTCGCAAGGACAAGACGCTGATGCTTGCGCGTGTGTGTAGATGGGGAGCGGTGGTGTAGCGGTTAGCGCGCTGCGCTATGAGCGAGGGATGCTCCTCCCCTCCCCCCGGCTCCCCCCCTCCCCCCGCCCCCCCCTCCCCCCGGGAGCCCCCCCCCTTCCTCCCTCCCCCCCTCTGTAATAAGGTAGGACACTGGTAAGGGGTTGACTGGTTTGTAGTTATGAGTATAGTGGTGAGTGTACTAGTGTAACGAGCGACTTCTGCGACGCGTCGTGTGGAGGGTACTTCTTTATTTCTCACACTGGGCACAACACAGGGCAACACTTCAACGTCTCACACTGAGTACAACACCTAAGATATGAACGCCTCTACTAGCTACACACGGCCGATCACTCGGCGCGGTCCCACCGCCCTCACTCCGCTACGCCGCTGACTGGCGGCGTGACGAGGAACGGTGATTCAAACCTCGCGGGAGATCTTCCACGTGGCTGGATGATGGAGAGATGACGGCGAGCAGCGAGGCAGTCCCGGGCCCAAGACTCCACACGCAAACCCCGAGCCCCGGTCAACCCCCGCTTATATCTCCCCGGGCGCGGCTAGGCTCCGCCTCCGGCCACGACCTTTCGTGGAAACTTCCAGCAGGTTCCTGGAACATCTCAGCCAACTCCGCCCATTACCTCCCTTTCAGATTGGATGTTTTTTTTCTTCTTGGTTCTTTCGGTAAAGTCACGTAGAAGGGAAGTAATAAAATAATAAAAATAAAACATAATAAAATAATTCTCACGACGTTTCAGCCACAACGCAAGCAGCCGTCCTCAGGTGAAGAATGAGACAATGCCAAGCTAGGAGCTTATATATAAGCTGCGTTGGAGGTGGAAGAGAGAGCGCCTTAACAAAAGAATGTGCATATGAAGAGGAATTTAGCATATACATGGAAAATGCGTAGGAGGTGGGCGGGGGGGTTTCAAAGTCATATTATGCCCATGCATTATGCAGGATCAACAGCACCAAGGGGGGGTGCAGGGATTAGCAGTAACAGAGGAAAGGAATGTTGTCTTAGCCGTGCCCGTACCCAAGCTTCCCTTTCCCAGCCAGCAGGTGTCATCATGTCATTACACTAGTGGTGTGTGTACTCGTGGTGTGTGTACCAGAGGTCGCAACCGGGTACCCGATACCTGTACCTTACCCGATACCTGTCTACCCGTACCCAGCCGGGTACGGGTACGGGTAGGCCGTGAGTCACTGGTGAGTAACCGTTTGTCACTCATTTCTGGTAGGGTAGGGTAGGAAACGGGTACCCGTACCCGGCCGGGTACGGGTACCTATTTGCGACCCTGGTGCGGCCGGGTACGGGTAAGGAATCAAAACCCGTTTGTGACCTCTGATGTGTACTAGTGGTGAGTGTACTCGTGGTGTGTGTACTAGTGGTGAGTGTAGTAGTGGTGAGTGTACTAGTGGTGAGTGTACTAGTGGTTAGTGCACTAGTGTTGAGTGTGGTGGTGGGTGTGGTGGTGGGTGTACACGAACAAATAGAAAAAAATAATTATCATTACTTAGAATACCGGGTAAACCGTATGGGTTGACAGGTATGTACACGGTACCCTATTGATCTATATGGGATCCTATTGATCTATATGGGACCCTATTGATCTATATGGAATCCTATTGTTCTACATGCATACCTGTGAACCCCTAATCAGTGGCTATCTTATTACAGACCAATTCAGACCTGGGTGGTCTCCCCGTGCTTCTTATAAATATCAACGTTCATCCTACGAATTCCCATAACAAGGGAAAAAACACAAATAGACGAAAAATGTGTTTTCTACCCGTATTAAAACGTCTCTACACCGTTTGTACCTCAAAATGTAATTTCCTTGTAGAATACGGAATTAACCGTATGGGTTGACAGCTTTGCGAACTTCACAGCTCTCATTAAATTAAAATTAAAAATACAAATAAAATAAAAATGCGGTGCAGTAAATGAAAGCATTTCCAGGCCCCAAAAAATACAATTTAAACCGCGTTTTTAATTAATGAGTTGTTATTGTATTTTTTTAACACTGTTATTGAAAACAAATCTCATGGTGGTTGTGATAGAGGGGCCACGTCCCCCCCCCCCCGCCAACTCGTAGCTTTGGCTGGTGACACTGCTGCGGGAAGGCCATGCGCATGACCTGCAGAGCAGAATAAAAAATATATTGTCACGACTTGAACAATGATGATGATGAGTGCATTCGGTTATGATTACTCGCTGGCAAGAGACGCCAGTTCTTATCGGTGGTGGTGGTGGATGGCTGAATCAGAATACGTTTTGAATCGTTTTTAAGTCAAGATTCATTGGAGGATGCTCATCCGACATTCCGCCTATTTACCTAAAATCCAGAAATGCCACATTGATGAGCGACAGCCAATTTTTTACAACACTAAGTCTCAGATGGAACAAATGGAGATTAGTCCACGCACTTTTCTGTACCGCATCACCGAGCGAACCACGGGATACACGGCTGCTACTTGACATCCACTGGAAATAGACCGAAATCCGGATCAGAATATGTATTCATACTGCAGGAATCCGATGAACTAAGAAGCAATTTTTATTCCAACAACAACAACAACATCTGTGCATGCTCCACTAACCCTCGCTACTACCTCCACAGCGCTGGATGAGAGGTCACGTGCAGTTTAGCCACCAAACACCGCCGCCACCCAGCTTGTAATCAGATTGCAAATTGTTTACAGAGCTTGTAATCAGATTACAATTATTTGCCGCAGTTGATTCATGGCTCCGACTGTGATTTAAACGTGGCTAAGGATGTATATTTTTACTGACTCGTGTGCCCGAATCTTGCCAAAGTTTTAAATCTAAACCAAAACGACGTTGATTACTTTAAAAAAAAGTTAATAAAGTGTATTTGGAAGTTTCGAAATATATTTGTCCGATGTGAGTAAATGAGTGACTGATCTAAATCTACACGAATCGTGTCTATGAATGGTCATAGAGCAGAGTGGTGGGAATTCCAGTGATGCTCTAGAAGGGCTAGAGAGCTGAGTGACTGATGTACAACTCTAGTGATGCTCTAGAAGGGCTAGAGAGCTGAGTGACTGATGTACAACTCTGGTGATGTTCTAGAAGGGCTAGAGAGCTGAGTGACTGATGTACAACTCTAGTGATGCTCTAGAAGGGCTAAAGAGCTGAGTGACTGATGTACAACTCTAGTGATGTTCTAGAAGGGCTAGAGAGCTGAGTGACTGATGTACATTCTAGTGATGTTCTAGAAAGGCTAGAGAGCTGAGTGACTGATGTACAACTCTAGTGATGTTCTAGAAGGGCTAGAGAGCTGAGTGACTGATGTACATTCTAGTGATGTTCTAGAAGGGCTAGAGAGCTGAGTGACTGATGTACATTCTAGTGATGTTCTAGAAGGGCTAGAGAGCTGAGTGACTGATGTACAACTCTAGTGATGTTCTAGAAGGGCTAGAGAGCTGAGTGACTGATGTACAACTCTAGTGATGTTCTAGAAGGGCGAGAGAGCTGAGTGACTGATGTACAACTCTAGTGATGTTCTAGAAGGGCTAGAGAGCTGAGTGACTGATGTACAACTCTAGTGATGTTCTAGAAGGGCGAGAGAGCTGAGTGACTGATGTACAACTCTAGTGATGTTTTAGAAGGGCGAGAGAGCTGAGTGACTGATGTACAACTCTAGTGATGTTCTAGAAGGGCTAGAGAGCTGAGTGACTGATGTACAACTCTAGTGATGTTCTAGAAGGGCGAGAGAGCTGAGTGACTGATGTACAACTCTAGTGATGTTCTAGAAGGGCGAGAGAGCTGAGTGACTGATGTACAACTCTAGTGATGTTCTAGAAGGGCTAGAGAGCTGAGTGACTGATGTACAACTCTAGTGATGTTCTAGAAGGGCGAGAGAGCTGAGTGACTGATGTACAACTCTAGTGATGTTCTAGAAGGGCTAGAGAGCTGAGTGACTGATTGTTACAATCCACGCTAACAATAAGACACCAACAACAACCACACCGATGGGTCGGGTCCCTCGCCTCCGTAGCGCGAGGCCACAGGTGGCAGCTGCCCGATTGCCGTGGCAATTAAACGGCCGTGACTGTGAGCAAAGGCAAAGATGGCCCCGTATAGCCTCGGCGGACTGTTGGGGCAAGTGCCGTTAGCGAGTAGCAGCCGTGAAGGTCGGCACGGGACAGGAGCGGGTGGGGTGGCCTAAGCACATTGCCTGGCCCTCCTTTGTATCCCCCAGTTGCCGATGTTGTACACGCAGCACCAGGTGCCCACTTAAGGCTGAGTCGACCTAGGGGGAGGCCCAGGACCCGCGCTAGACAATCGTCACTATAGGTGTTGGTGGCCGTGATGGGAGAATCTTAGAACTCGGGTCGCCAGGTTCGTGGCGCGGCGCTCTAAGCACTGCGCCACCGCTCCTCCACTCTCACACTCAACACGTGGCGCGCTAACCACTGCACCACCGCTCCCCCACCTCACACTCAACACGTGGCGCGCTAACCACTGCGCCACCACTTCCTCACTCTCACACTCAACACGTGGCACGATAACCACTGCGCCACCGCTCCCCCACCCTCATACCCAACACGTGACGCGCTAACCACTGCGCCACCGCTCCCCCACCTCACACTCAACACGTGGCGCGCTAACCACTGCACCACCGCTCCCCCACTCTCACACCCAACACGTGGCGCGCTAACCACTGCACCACCGCTCCCCCACTCTCACACTCAACACGTGGCACGCTAACCATTGCGCCACCGCTCCCCCACTCTCACACCCAACACGTGGCGCGCTAACCACTGCGCCACCACTCCCCCACTCTCACACCCAACACGTGGCGCGCTAACCACTGCGCCACCGCTCCCCCACCCTCACACTCAACACGCGGCGCGCTAACCACTGCGCCACCGCTCCCCCACTCTCACACCCAACACGTGGCGCGCTAACCACTGCACCACCGCTCCCCCACTCTCACACCCAACACGTGACGCGCTAACCACTGCGCCACCGCTCCCCCACTCACACCCAACACGTGGCGCGCTAACCACTGCGCCACCACTCCCTCACTCTCACACTCAATACGTGGCGCGCTAACCACTGCGCCACCGCTCCCCCACTCTCACACTCAACACGTGACGCGCTAACCACTGCACCACCGCTCCCTCACTCTCACACTCAACACGTGGCGCTCCAGAGCGATCCACTGTTGCCAGGAGATGAGTGGGGGGTGGTGGGGGGTGGTGGTGGGGGGTGGGGGGGGGTGGTGGGGGTGGTGGGGGGGGTGGTGGGGGGGGTGGGGAGGAGTGGGGGTAGTGAGGGGGGATAGTGGGGGGGTGGTGGGGGTGGTGGGGGTGGTGGGGGGGGGGTGGTGGGGGTGGTGGGGGGGTGGTGGGGGGGGGGGGTGGGGAGGAGTGGGGGTAGTGGGGGGGGGTAGTGGGGGGGTGGTGGGGGGTGGTGAGGGTAGTGGGGGTGGTGGGGGGGGTGTTGGGGGTGGTGGGGAGGAGAAGGGGTGGTGGGGGGTGGTGGGGTGGTGGGGTGGTGGGGGTGGTGGTGGGGGGGGTGGTGGGGAGGAGAAGGGGTGGTGGGGGGTGGTGGTGGGGTGGTGGGGGTGGTGGGGAGGATTGGGGGGGTGGTGGGAGTAGTGGGGGTGGGGGGTGGTGGGGAGGAGAGGGGGTGGTGGTGGGGGGGTGGTGGGGAGGAGAAGGGGTGGTGGGGGGTGGTGGGGAGGAGTCGGGGTGGTGGGGGTGGTGGGAGGTGGTGGGGAGTAGTAGTGGGGAGGAGGAGGAGATGGAGGATGGAGCGTCGTGGTTGTGAATTCTGCGCGTGACGCGAGCGATGGACCCGGGGTGGCTGCCCCCTTCTGCCCGTCCCGTGAATGGACGGTGCGTCACGGTGGCTGTGAGATATTAACTACCTCGCCTGGTGTACAGGAAGTCGCGGGTTCGACCCCGACCCTGACGACGCCTGCTGCTGTATATTTGGAGTTTGCGTGTCTCTCTCTCCGTGGTGAGATGTTAACTACCTCGCCTGGTGTACAGGAAGTCGCGGGTTCGACACCGAACCTGACGACGCCTGCTGCTGTATATTTGGAGTTTGCGTGTCTCTCTCTCCGTGGTGAGATGTTAACTACCTCGCCTGGTGTACAGGAAGTCGCGGGTTCGACACCGAACCTGACGACGCCTGCTGCTGTACATTTGGAGTTTGCGTGTCTCTCTCTCCGTGGTGAGATGTTAACTACCTCGCCTGGTGTACAGGAAGTCGCGGGTTCGACACCGAACCTGACGACGCCTGCTGCTGTATATTTGGAGTTTGCGTGTCTCTCTCTCCGTGGTGAGATGTTAACTACCTCGCCTGGTGTACAGGAAGTCACGGGTTCGACACCGAACCTGACGACGCCTGCTGCTGTATATTTGGAGTTTGCGTGTCTCTCTCTCCGTGGTGAGATGTTAACTACCTCGCCTGGTGTACAGGAAGTCGCGGGTTCGACACCGAACCTGACGACGCCTGCTGCTGTACATTTGGAGTTTGCGTCTCTCTCTCTCTCCTCGTGTTTGCGTGGATTTTTCTCCGGGTCCTCCGGCTTTTCGCTCCACATTTAGAATCGACATCACGACTTTTAGAGTGTTTAGCTGCTGTACATTTCCACACGATAAGCCGACTTCGTCCACCTATCATTTGTGGCCGGTTCGCTTCTGAAACAAAAATTAATAGCTTAGTCAGTGAGCTTCAGCTGGCAAGATAAAATATAGTTTACTTAAATTTTTAATTTTTTAAACAATTGCGTTAATCTTCTTGGTTCTTTCGGTAAAGTCACGTAGAAGGGAAATAATAAAATAATAAAAATAAAACATAATAAAATAATTCTCACGACGTTTCGGCCACAACGCAAGCAGCCGTCCTCAGGTGAAGAGCAGGACTGTCGGAAAGACAGCGTCTGAATGAAAAAAAAATTGCGTTAACTTTCCTATACTTTACACTCATATCGTTGTTGTTTTTTTTAAAATTATTGTTGCAACGTTCTGACCCGTGACCCCCTCCCCTCCCCTTAGTGGATATCTGCGACCAAAGAGCTTTATCGCTCATCAGATTCCTCCTCGTATAATAACAATAATAGAAACATTCCGATTCCGAATGTGGTGAGCATTGACGCTGCGTGACAATTTAAGTGACTGTTGAGGACAATTCTAGATTTGAAGATTTCGTGACTGCAAGGATTCATACTCTTAGGTTTTTTTAAATCCTTTATATTAAGTTCACTTGCTTGCTTGTTTGCGTGCTTGCGTGCTTGCTTGCTTGCTTACGACCGTGCAAATCTTTTGGTCGTTTTTTAACCCACTTCCCGTGATCCAATCGAGCTGACATTTTGCACACAGACTCGTTGTGCGTGACAATAAATTTTCGTCAAATTTTTTTTTCAAAATTTTACACTGTTTAGGGAAAAATAAATAAATATTTATATACCAATTGCTTAATGGTGGCAGACAATCATCTGACCCATAGGTGGCAGCCATCTCAAGCCAGAGGACGAGAGGACTCTAGCCGCCACGCATATAAAGGATTTATTGTGAAAAACTTTGTTTATAAGGGTTAATTTTTTTTCCGGTCAAGTCACGTAGGTAAAAAAAAAACATTTAAATTAATAAAAGTAAAATAAAACAAAATAAAAAATTCACGACGTTTCGGAAGCAACACAAGCCACGGGATGTCTGCTACGCTCGCATCGAAACAGGGGCAAGCGGGCAGCACGTGGCTCCCAACACGACGTTGAACCGACGTTTCGTCCCACGTTGTTAAGCGCCATCGACCTGTGAACCAGGCGAACCCAGAGGTTCGACTCCCGCTCACGGCCAACATCAGTGACGATTATCCGAACCGCCACAAAGGCGCCGTGCCGGCCTTCACCGGGAACAAGCACTTGCCCGAAGAGTATGCTAGAGGCTATGCGGGGGACCTTTGTCTGTGTATGGGAAAGGGAGGGATGGGGGGGGGTGGGGGCTTTGTTTTTCCAGAGGCCGGAGTGTGTTTGTGAAGAGTGGAAAATGAGGTTGTAGGGGGGTAGGGGGGGAGAGTTGGTCGTGATGAGCAGTGCTTAGCAGAACAAACACAATTGGCACGGTTGCATGAACAGACACACAGACACACACACAGTTACACACGCACCGTGACACACACACACACACAATGTGTCACACGTGCCCCGAGCCCCACACAAACATCTGTTCACCTGGCAGGGGACACCAGGTTGGTCCACAGACCCACGGAGGAAGGTGAGTCCCTGCACTGTTACACCACACACGCACACCGCTACTGTTACACCACACACGCACACCGCCACTGTTACACCACACACGCACACTGACACACCACACACGCACACTGCTACGTTACACCACACACGCACACCGCCACTGTTACACCACACACGCACACTGTTACACCACACACGCACACCGCCACTGACGCACCACACACGCACACTGTTACACCACACACGCACACGCACACTGTTACACCACACACGCACACCGCCACTGTTACACCACACACGCACACCGCTACTGTTACACCACACACGCACACCGCCACTGTTACTGTTACACCACACACGCACACCGCTACTGTTACACCACACACGCACACCGATACTGTTACACCACACACGCACACCGATACTGTTACACCACACACGCACACCGCCACTGTTACACCATACACGCACACCGCCACTGTACACCATACACGCACACCGACACACACACGCACACCGCCACTGTTACACCACACACACACACTGTTACACCACACACGCACACCGCTACTGTTACACCACACACGCACACTGACACACCACACACGCACACTGCTACTGTTACACCACACACGCACACTGACACACCACACACTCACACCGCTACTGTTACACCACACACGCACACCGCCACTGTTACACACCACACACGCACACCGCCACTGTTACACCACACACGCACACTGACACACCACACACGCACACTGTTATACCACACACGCACACCGCTACTGTTACACCACACACGCACACCGCTACTGTTACACCACACACGCACACTGACACACCACACACGCACACCGCTACTGTTACACCACACACGCACACTGACACACCACACACGCACACTGCTACTGTTACACCACACACGCACACTGACACTGTTACACCAAACACGCACATTGACACACCACACACGCACACCGCCACTGTTACACCGCACACGCACATTGACACACCACACACGCACACCGCCACTGTTACACCACACACGCACACTGACACACCACACACGCAGACTATTACACCACAAACGCACACCGCCACTGATACACCACACACGCACACCGACACACCACACACGCACACCGCTACTGTTACACCACACACACACACCGCCACTGTTACACCACACACGCACACCGCCACTGTTACACCACACACGCACACCGCCACTGTTACACCACACACGCACACCGCTACTGTTACACCACACACGCACACCGCCACTGTTACACCACACACGCACACCGCTACTGTTACACCACACACACACACCCGCCACTGTTACACCACACACGCACACCGCCACTGTTACACCACACACGCACACCGCCACTGTTACACCACACACACACACCGCCACTGTTACACCACACACGCACACCGCCACTGTTACACCACACACGCACACCGCTACTGTTACACCACACACGCACACCGCCACTGTTACACCATACACGCACACCGCCACTGTTACACCACACACGCACACCGCTACTGACACACCACACACGCACACCGCCACTGTTACACCACACACGCACACCGCCACTGTTACACCACACACGCACACCGCTACTGTTACACCACACACGCACACCGCCACTGTTACTGTTACACCACACACGCACACCGCTACTGTTACACCACACACGCACACCGATACTGTTACACCACACACGCACACCGCCACTGTTACACCACACACGCACACTGTTACACCACACACGCACACCGATACTGTTACACCACACACGCACACCGCCACTGACGCACCACACACGCACACTGTTACACCACACACGCACACGCACACTGTTACACCACACACGCACACCGCCACTGTTACACCACACACGCACACCGCCACTGTTACACCACACACGCACACCGCCACTGTTACACCACACACGCACACCGCTACTGACACACCACACACGCACACCGCCACTGTTACACACACACACACCGCTACTGTTACACCATACACGCACACCGCCACTGTTACACCATACACGCACACCGCTACTGTTACACCACACACGCACACCGCCACTGTTACACCACACACGCACACCACCAATGACGCACCACACACGCACACCGCCACTGACACACCACACACGCACACCACCACTGTTACACTACACACACACACCGCTACTGTTACACCACACACGTACACCGCTACTGACACACCACACACACACACCGTTACTGTTACACCACACACCACTGTTACACCACACACGCACACCGCCACTGTTACACCACACACGCACACCGCTTCTGACACACCACACACGCACACCGCTACTGTTACACCACACACCGCCACTGTGACACCACACACGCACACTGCCACTGTTACACCACACACACCACACACGCACACCGCCACTGACACACCACACACGCACACCGCTACTCACACACCACACGCACACCGCCACTGACACACCACACACGCACACCGCCACTGTTACACCACACACGCACACCGCTACTGACACACACCACACACGCACACCCTTCCGATCATCTATCTTTCTTTTCGTCCCTACGACGACC